ATTCATGCTAGAATCATGCTAGTATCATGCTAATTCATGCTAGCATCGTGCTAACAACATGCTAATTCATGCTAGAATCATGCTAGTAACATGCTAATTCATGCTAGAATCATGCTAACAACATGCTAATTCATGCTAGAATCATGCTAATAACATGCTAATTCATGCTAGAATCATGCTAACAACATGCTAATTCATGCTAGAATCATGCTAGTAACATGCTAATTCATGCTAGAATCATGCTAACAACATGCTAATTCATGCTAGAATCATGCTAGTGAAATGCTAATTCATGCTAGAATCATGCTAACAACATGCTAATTCATGCTAGAATCATGCTAGTAACATGCTAATTCATGTTAGAATCATGCTAACAACATGCTAATTCATGCTAGAATCATGCTAATAACGTGCTAATTCATGCTAGAATCATGCTAGTAACATGCTAATTCATGTTAGAATCATGCTAACAACATGCTAATTCATGCTAGAATCATGCTAGTAACATGCTAATTCATGCTAGAAGCATGCTAACAACATGCTAATTTATGCTAGAATCATGCTAGTAGCATGCTAATTCATGCTAGAATCTTGCTAGTAACATGCTAAATCATGCTAGAATCATGCTAACAACATGCTAATTCATGCTAGAATCATGCTAACAACATGCTAATTCATGCTAGAATTGTGCTAATTCATGCTAAAATCATGCTAGAATTGTGCTAATTCATGCTAGAATCATGCTAGTAACATGCTAATTCATGCTAGAATCATGCTAACAACATGCTAATTCATGCTAGAATCATGCTAACAACATGCTAATTCATGCTAGAATCATGCTAGTAACATGCTAATTCATGCTAGAATCATGCTAACAACATGCTAATTCATGCTAGAATCATGCTAGTAACATGCTAATTCATGCTAGAATCATGCTAACAACATGCTAATTCATGCTAGAATCATGCTAATAACATGCTAATCTATCTATCTATCTATCTATCTATCTATCTATCTATCTATCTATCTATCTATCTATCTATCTATCTATCTATCTATCTATCTATCTATCTATCTATCTATCTATCTTTTCATACTTTTTAAAACTGTTTAAACTAAATAAACTATTACCGTCAGGCTTTCACAAGCCAGCCTCAAAGTTTGTTCTCAAACTTTAAGAATCTAGTTATTATCTTTTGTTTGATTAATATTAAAAGCAGAGAGAGCAAAAATAAGATGTTTCATTTTACCCATTTACCTATGGCTGGTTTTTACTTCTACATGGAGTGATCGTCGTGACCCACTGTGCGTGCCTTGTGCGTTGTGGTGCATTTATACTTCTGTGCACTGTTTGTGTTGCTCTGCAATAACAGGATACGTGTGCGCTTGATGCAGAAGTATATATCAGCCTTTACAGGGAGCTTTGTTTCAGCACATGGACTTTATACATTCTAACATGAACTGAGCCACTTTAGAAAGTAATTAAAGTAATGGAGGAGTATGAAAATGCAAAATACAATTTTTCAAAATGTAAAACAAACCCAAAAAACACAATTTTCATTTTTATATTGAACCATGGAGGTCGCACCGTACGGTGCAATACTATATTAAGTATTGCGATATCCCATATGGCTACCAGTTTACAAAATTCTTCAACGAAATCTCCTTATGCAATATAAACAAGAATCTCAAACAGGTTTGGAACAAGTGGAACGGAAGTAAATCATCACTGGATTTCCCTTTAAACGTGTCATCTTTGTTAGAGGAAGGTTTTGTGGCTCTGGTTTGAAAATGGCTGCTTTAGGGTAGGGTTTTGTGGTTTGAGGTTTGTGAGTAAATCAGTTCTAAGCCACCCGCTGCATGTTTGCTGCTTTTCCTTATTAGATAAACAGATTACAAGATCTCGACTTGAACCATAACACAACCCTCTATCAGCATTAAACAAAACAGCTCCCTGTGTAATCCTCTAGACAAGATTACAGAAACTGGGACTGCTGCTAAAGCATGCCTCTCCTCCAACACGTGTGACTGATTCCCTTTTTGCTTTCTAGAAAAAATAACATCGCATTAAGTTAAATTACATTTCGTCTACTTTCTTTATAATTTAACTCTAGCAATGTGTTACAGGTGTGTCATTTTTATGAAAGGAAATTATTACTTTTATTTAGTAAGCCAACTTTAAACAACTGTTTTTGTTTTAAACAACAAAAAATCTGCCCTCTTATTTACCTACTCTTGTTTCGGTAAGAAATATCTTGAGTAGCACCTATTGTGTGCATTGCCTCTTCAAGTCGAGTCATTTAACGCCTTATCCTTGGTAAGTCACTTTTGACTAAAGTCTCTCAAATGTAAATATAAACGTTATATGTTTATATTCCTGGCTTCATAGTTTTCTTCAAATAATAATTATTTTTGTGTGTGTGTGTGTGTGTGTGTGTGTGTGTGTGTGTGTGTGTTACAGAAATGTCAACACAAAATAGCATTTTCAATTTAAATTTTATTATTTTCGTTTCCTAAAATTGGCATCTCCTCGTGGACGGAATGCCAGAACGAAGTATGCATTTTTAAATGAAACGGACATGACCAAATACACAAGCACATCCCAGTGGGGACTCTCATAGATGCACTGTGTAGCAAGCTGCCTTACAATTTTAGGTCGAGTAACTTTTTTTTTTTAGTGTGCAATGATGGTTAAATTATGTAAACTGTATATTTTTCCCCCTAACCCCACCTCTAAACAGTGTTGGGGGTAACGCATTACAAGTAACACGAGTTGCGTAATATTATAACTTTTAAAGTAGCACATTACTTTTTTAAAATTAATTGATATTAAAGTTACTTTTTTTAAAAATGTAACATGAGTTGCTGTTTAATTAAAAAATGTAAATTGCTGAATTAAAATGTTCATTGTGACATTGAATCCAGTATGCAATGAGAGAATGCAAGAGCAGACAGGAAAGAAGATGGCCTACATTTCTGTGATGGAAATATTCTTGTGACTTTGAGCGCATTGAAGAAAAGGAAAAGAGGATTTTCTGAATGGACAGTGATTTAACTTTTTAAAAAAACAAAAAATACAATATTAGCTAACACATTGCTTTAAACTTTCATTAATCTGTATCTGGAGGTCAGAATTATTAGCCCCTCTTCGCATTTTTTTTCTCTTTTTTTAAATATTTCCCAAATGATGTTTAACAGAGCAAGGAAAATTTTCACAGTATGGCTGACATTATTTTTTTGTTCTGGAGAAAGTCTTATGTGTTTTATTTCAGCTAGAGTAAAAGCAGTTTTCATTTTTTAAAAGCCATTTAAGGTCAAAATTATTAGCGACTTTAAGCTATTTTGTCCCGATAGTCTACAGCAGGGGTTCTCAAAGTGGGGGTCGGGACCCCTCGAGGGGTCGCGGGACAATGAAGGAGGGTCGCCTGGTGATTTAAAAAAAATCTATTATTATTAAATCATATAAGAATGACCATATTTTATCCATAACCTACTTAAGAGAAAAATATAGTCGTTTATAATTACTATATAGTTACTATAGTAGCTTATAGTTACTAGTTCTATTGGATTGCGACCCCAGTGGTAATTACATTATATTAAAGACACAGCAATAGCGTCAGATGCAGCAGATTGATTTTATAACACCAGGTTAAAGTTTCTGGCCCATTTACAGCACTGACATTAAACGAAGAATATCCCTGGGTGTTTTGGTGTGTGTGTGACATTGCATGCAAGGTTTCTGTATTCATAACCAGGATATTGGGGGTCGCGAGTCACTGGCATCGTCATATTAGGGGTCGCAGGCTGGAAAGTTTGGGAACCTCTGGTCTACAGAACAAACCATCGTTATACAATAACTTGCCTGATTACCCTAAAAGGCCTAGTTAACCTATTTAAGCCTTAAATTGTAAAGAAGTGTCTTGAAAAATATCTAGTCAAATTTTATTTACTGTCTGAGCTGGTGTATTTGAATACAGCGATCTGATTGGCAGACACTTCCGGATCCACAATGAAGTTCGGCAACGCCTAACGCCACCCATTCAAAGTGAATTGAAAGCGCTGACGGCCCGTGTGAAAGTGGCGTTAGACACATTTACATCAAGACTTAAAACACATCTGTTTAGCTGTGCCTTTACTGAATGAGCACTGACAGATCATGTCAGATTATATGTTTTTCATTCCTTTAAAACTGTTTTAACACATTTTAATCTGTTTCAATCATTTTTATTCTTTGTATTTATTTTTTATACTTGTTTATGTAAAACATCTTGAATTATCGTTGTGCATGAAATGTGCTATAGAAATAAACTTGCCTTGCCTTCCATTGCCTTGCATGCACCAAAACCTTAAGGTTGGTCCCCGCGATGACACAACTCCCTGTAGGTCTGTTTGCATTAAGTTTTAGGTCCCCACTGGGATTTAAAAACAAGCACACAAACACATGTCAGAGATATAGCATGCATTATATTATATATACTACTCTGTGACCTGTGATATAAAGCTTTCAGCCTCTGTAGCACAAATGTTGTGTGCATTAATGTACATTCTTGTCATAGAGCATTAATAATGCTTCTTGGAGTAAATTAGATATGTAAGCTTTCAGTGAATTATTAAATTTTTGATGTAAATAGGCTTTAATGGGCTCTTCTGGTGACAGCCGAGAAACACAAAAATATCTTTGCAGGCTAATTAACTCCGAGTCAGATGATATCAAAATATTGGCTGCTCTTCGTGTTTGCGCTGGCATGCTGTATCTGTATATAATAAAACATAACCTTTGCAGCTATGTGACAGCAACACTTAGACCTAAAACAATAAGCTGTGATGCTGTAATAGTTTTTTGGCCGTGGGACTCAATCTTCACATTAATACCAACGTGTTGTGAGATTGTTGGAAGGTAAAGTGTAGCAAGTTGGTGTTTGCAGTAAATCCATCACCTTCACTTGTGCGTATATAATTATTAAAATATGTATCTTATTTTTCCTTTTTTGTGTGTTCAGGATTACCCAAAGAACAGGCATCCGGGCTGGAGTCGAGGTTCTGTCGCATATCACGCAGGTAAGAGATGTTGATAGATTTAGTACAGCCATTATTACAGTAAATATGTTTACATGCTACAGTAGTTTTGGAGTAGTCGAGCTAGTGCTCATATGGTTCATATACATAACACCATGCCAAATCAAACGGATGGTTTATGTAAGAAAATTAAATGTACAAAATGGAGATTTTTATGAATATTATAAATGCGTTTGATTATATACACATTAGAATATCAATTTAATTATCTATTTTATATATTATATTATATTTTATGCAACAATTCTGTCTGGTTCCCAAATCCGATTGGCTGATAGCTGTGTGATATTCTGCAATAACAGCACTCATACAGCCTCTGTATTATTCTGCCCACATAGAGAGACAAGCAGAAGACTAAACAACTCGCTACAGTTTGACAAATATTGCAGCTGTTGGACAACATAATGTACTTTTGATGATTTTTTAGGTGAGAATGTAGTTGTTTAGATTGCAACTATGCAGTTAATTTATAATGCTGCACACCAGACAGTGACGTGAGTGTTTTACGTGTCAAGTCAGTGCAAAGACGCGAATAGACATCCTGCGGCACGATATGCTCGAATGAGGTGGCTCGAATTCACTTAAAGCGCAAATCGGGCGCTTTACATGAGTTGGAAAATCTAAATTTCAGTGGACATTCGCGCCGCATTAACCAATCAGGAGCTTTCTCTTGTAGTGGCGTGATTATGATGTAGCGCAGGGGTCTCAAACTCGCGGCCCGTGGGCCATTTGCGGCCCTCAGTGCAATATTTTGTGGCCCGCGCCGAACGCTGTACTCTGACAGAATCAGCGGAGCGGGGAGAGAGAGCGCTCCCCGCTCCGCTGATTCTATCCGTACACAGCGCGCTTGTCACTCAATGCGCGTTGTCGCGCGCGTTCTGATCAGCTGTGTTGTCGCGCGCGTACTCAAGAGAGGTGTTATCGCGCGCCTACTGAAGGGCGGGACCGAGAGTGTGTCGCGTCGCGGGGGCACTTTTGATCATTTTGGAAGGACACTTTCTTTGCAAAACTAAAAAGGGCATGTGCTCTGCACAGGTTGAGCCCTATGTGTGCACGTGCCTGCCCTGTGTTGATATTATAGGTAGATACAGACTGGTACAGACTGATGTGACTGGAGTGGGGTGGGGGTGTTTTATTTATACATATATATACACCTTTTTTTAGGTGAGGGAATGGAAGTTTTGAGTGAGTTCCCCCACTTTTTTCCCAGGACTTCAATAAGTCAAAGTACAGGTCTAGACTTAATGATGATCATCTTCAAGCCATACTGAGGGTCTCAACTGCTTCCGCTCTAAAGCCAAATGTGGTTCAGATTTGTGAGAAGAAGCGCTGTCAAGTCTCTGGCAGCAAGAAGTAGGCAAAAGATGCCATGTTCAGAAGAACTGTTCATAATCTTCACTCAATGTTCTATTAATGTTCAGGACACTTCATGTTCAGAAGAAGAAATAATTAAAACTGTTAATAATGACATTTGAGGACTTTTTTTTGTGAAATCCCTTATGTGGCCCAGCCTCACCCAGACTTTGCCTCCTGCGGCCCCCAGGTAAATTGAGTTTGAGACCCCTGATGTAGCGCCTGTTGTTGGTGTCCTGGGGGAAAATGCTCTTGCTGACACCAGACAACAGTTTATTAAACTGGGCTTGGCTCAGTCGGAAGCACCTCTGAAAACCTCCATTATCCAGGTATAGTTTCTGGAAGAGCTGATGAACTTACAGAACTAAGAGCACCTCTAAATGGATCTAGTACACATCAGACACAGCTCCAAACAAATTGACACTGTTTATCAGCCTTCCTAAAGCAAATAAATACAGTTATTCTCTCAATAAAATCTATGTAAACCATTTAACAACAAAACTAGAGTCACCGGGCAGACAGAAGCCCTTCTTATGACACGATTCCGCATCTATTGTCACGCGAATGAAGCGAGTAAACTCAAAATGTTCACGCGTCAATTTATGCATGAATAGGGCGATTCATTAGCACGTTCTGCATATATTATATTATATTATATTATATGGACATACTCATAATATTAATTAAATTATTTATTTTGTGTATTATATTGTATATTAAAATTGTATATTATATTATATTATATTATATGGACATACACATAATATTAGTTAAATTATTTATTTTGTATATTATATTGTATATTAAAATTTTATATTATATTATACTATATGGACATACACATAATATTAATTAAATTATTTATTTTGTGTATTATATATTCAAAATTGTATATTATATTATATTATATTATATAATATTATATATATTTATATTATATTATATTACATTATATGGACATACACATAATATTAATTAAATTATTTATTTTGGGTATTATATATTAAAATNGTATATTATATTATATTATATTATATTATATTATATTATATTATATGGACATACACATAATATTAATTAAATTATTTATTTTGTATATTTTATTGTATATTAAAATTGTATTTTATATTATATTATATTATATTATATTGAAATACACATTAGAATATTAATTAAATGATCTAAAATCTGAATATTATGTTATATTATATTATATTATATTATATTATATTATATTATATTACATTATATTATATTATATTATATGGACATACACATAATATTAATTAAATTATTTATTTTGTATATTATAATGTATATTAAAATTTTATATTCTATTATACTATATGGACATACACATAATATTAATTAAATTATTTATTTTGTGTATTATATATTAAAATTGTATATTATATTATATTATATTATATTTTAAGGACATACACATAATATTAATTAAATTATTTATTTTGTATATTATATTGTATATTAAATTGTATTTTATATTATATTATATTATATTATATTATATTGAAATACACATTAGAATATTAATTAAATGATCTATTTAAATGATCTAAAATCTGTATGTTATGTTATATTATATTATATTACATTAAATATACATACATATTTATAATAACAGTTAAACTGCAGCTTTTTTGTTTATTTATTGTTTATCTGTATTTTTATTTGTCTTATATTATCTACAATGTACTATTATTTGTATTAATGTTTCTCATTCAGGCATATTTGTCAGTGAATATTGTTTTTAGTTTGTTTTTCACACACATATTGAATGCTGAAAACTTTTCCCCCTGAGTTGGTTATATTTATAGACTACAACCAAAAAAAGTCCACACATCCAGATCCTGTTTACATAAAGTTTGTTTTGTTTTCTCTGTTTTTGTCATCTGCATGTATTCCCATCACAGTTCATGCATGGATTATCCAGAATTCCTGCAGGTGGTGATAATTGTTTTTTTTTAAGCTTTATTATTTGGGTCCTCTTTTCAAGCCTATACATCTATGGGCACCATCTCTAGAGTGTGTGGAGGTCCTGGATGGTGATAAGAGGATCGTGGAGATGAGATGAGTGTGTTGATTACAAGCAAATCCTCTTGAAAAAATGGCAGGAGGATAAATAGCCCTATCTCACTCCACAGGTCCCATCTTTCAAAGCAGCTCAAAGGAAGTTGATATCGGATAAGATTGCAGCTCAGTGTAAAGATGGCAATCTGTATACTCAACCCCTTCATGCCTTCATGCCACTCCACATAACAGATTAGTCACTGAGTATCATCCCGAATGAAACAATGTGCTTCTTTGGTGACTCAGATCCTGTTGTTTAATGGTGAGGGATTTTGCCTGCAAGCCAGATAAACAGTGACTGTTCAGATTTTTTTGTATGCATATATTCATATAATAGGGTTGCTGATTCAGTGTGTTCATTTTAATTAAGTAGGTATAAAAAAAAAAATCAGAGGAACAAAATTTGAATGCAGTTAACATTCCTGCCATCTAGTGGTTCCGAGACAACGAGGGTAATTAAAAAATTTATAAAAGATTAAACTCAGAGTTGCTTAAATAATTCGTTGTTCGTCCTGATCTTTGCCTGTTTTTATCGACGTAGACACGTTTACGTTAAGTAAATGCGATTAAAATGGTTGCCTCCCTGTTTTCTATAGCAATTAAAATATGTATTTAATTGTGTTTTGTTACTTGTGATCGATCCACAGGGCTTGTATTGTATCTGGTTAACTCTTTATATTCACATTGCGCATCTAAAGCCACGTTGAGAATGTGATGCGTGGTGCTTTCCTTACGAATTTAAATACGTTTGTGAGCTCGCGATTCTCTGCCGTTTGTCGTGGTGGACATTTCTCTCTGTCTCGGGCTGAACGCAGTAGACCAATCGCAACAGAATGGTTCATCGAGCCAATCAGTGCAGATTAGCATCATGCTAAAAAGGGGTTTGGGAACAAATTAATCAGTGAACAAATCATATGGGAGTCATTATATAATATGAAATATAAAAATAAATGCATTTTAAAAGACAATGAAAGTGCCACTGGCATTGTTATTTTGGGGGTTACGGGCTGAAGTTTAGGAACCCGTGATCATACAGTTTATTGTTGAACATGATGCTGGAGAACAACCCACTGCCTAATGGAGCTTATTAAATGTAGTCATATGGGGCATTCATAAAATTAGAGATATTGGGGCAAAATTGACCCTTATTATATTTTCATCAGCAATATTACACAACAAAATCAGTATTACACAAGGGCTGTATTTATCCCAAATAGCATGAGAGCAGATGTGATATTGATGACTATGAAGTTCATGTTCATGTTAGACATGATATTATCCTGTGTTTTTTTCTCAGACCAAGGTTATTTTAGTAAACGAAAAATGAAGCTAATGCTAAAACTATTAGTCAAAAGTATTTTTAATTAACTAAAATAAAATTTAAAAACCACAATAAATGCAAAACTGAAACTAACAATGGTCAAAATGTATTAATATTATTTTTGTTTAGAATTAATCGACACTCATTTTTTTAATAAAATGTTTAAATACATAAAAGATTTTATTTCTCTGTATTCGTCATAATTTCTACTTTTTTC